CTGACTACTTCTTAAAGAATTATATCCTGTTCCCAGCCTGAATCACAACCTATTAACTTCCTTACTAAACTCCATTACCATGAGTATGGTTTTATGTGATCTGTGTGGCCACTGAAACAGATTACAGGCCCAGTAGTACAGCAGTGATGGATGGTGAAGAGCTTGAGATTGTCAACAGCTTCAGTTTGCTTGACTCTACAATCAACACTCTTGGTATCAGCCGCCAGGAAATTTTTAAAAAAGTTCAGCAAAGCAACGATGTCAGTCTGGAAAGTAAGGTGCACCTGATACAGGCCATGATCTTTGCAATCATTTGCTATGCATCAGAAATCTGGACAATGACTAGAGATGATAGAAGGTAAATTGATGCCTTTTAGCTGTGGTGATGGAGAAGACTATTTAATATACCGTGGACTGTTAGGAGAACAAACAAGTTCACCCTGGAGAGGGTGAAGCCAGGCTACTCCTTGGAGGCAAAGATTCTGAAGCTCCGTCTGACATACTGTGGACATGTTGCAAGGCAGGATCAGTCCTTAGAGAGGGACATCATGCTTGGGAGGGTGAAGGGACAGCAGAGGGGAAGACCCTTGATGAATTGGATTGATCCAGTGACTGGGGTAATGGAGATAGGTGTGTCAGAGACAGTAAGATTGGAACAGGATAGAGTAAGGTGTAGGGCTGTTGTGCATAGGGCTGCTATGAGTCACACACAACTCGATGGCACATAACAACAACAACAACAACAGTACAGCAGTGAGAGCCTAGGGAAAGTCAGTTGGTGTTAGAAGTAGGTTTAGGGAACATGGAGAACGGCAGGGTGAAGATGTAAAACAAAGGAAATAGTTTTGTTGTGTGAATGCTGTTAACAGAGATAATTCCGCCATGTGGAGTCAGTAGAATTCAGCTGCCTCCATTCACTCTTTTTACATCATTGATGCTCAGATTAAGCTTGCAGCTGGGTTTCTGGAGGGCTCACTGCAATGGAGACAGTAGGTGTGTCTTGAGTCTCGAGCCAGCAGCTCTGTCATTTCTAACAGGTTCCCAGTTGATCCTACATCTATTAGCCAGGACGCACTCTGCATCTGATGTCCAGGTAAGCATCCAGCTCTCCTTCAGACCTCAGATATTCCGAGGTCAGCTATGATCTGTGACTATCTGAGTTCTGGGACCTACAATTGCTAGGGCATTTACTCTAGAAGTCAGGGAGCAGCTTGGTTTGAGTGTTTGGGTTTTTTTTAGGATTATTTGCTTTTTTTAAAAAATAGACCTAACTTTTTTTCTTTTATTCCGATTTATTTACAAAGTTTGAATACCTTGTTTTTCACAAAAGATCCTTCCCATTTAGAACCATTTTAGACGTGACCAAAATTTGTACAGAAAATACCGTTCCCATATGTTACTTCTCCCCTCTATATAATTTCCCCCATTAATTATATTTTCATATTGTTTGGTACATTTATCAAAACAGATCACATCAATATTGATATGTTATTATTAACTAAGGGAGCACTGGTGGCCTAGTGGCAAGGAGCTGCAATCCTGAAGGCAGACAGTTCAAATCCACCATCTCCTCCATGGAAGAAGGATACGCAAGCTCCTCCTGTGGAGTTAACTGCCCCCAAAAACCTATCAGAGGGCCAACTGTGGGTTGGTTCTGGCTCAGTAGTACACAAAAACAACATTATTATCTGACCCAAATTTATTACCATTGGGCTTGAGCCTGATGACAGTGGTTTTGAAAATAGAGGAGATCATGAGAACGTTACAGGACAGGGTATGGTTTTGACCTATTGTTCACTGGATCACTATCAGTTATAGTCGACTTGGTGCTACCTCGTAACAACTTCGTCTTTAATTTGATTCAAATTTATAGCAAGAGGGTTTATAGAAACCCTCTAAGACAGAGTAAAAATTTCCTATAGGCACCAGTAGCCAGGAAATGAAAAGGCACATTGCCATGGGAAAGTCTGCTGTTAGGGACCTCTCCAGAGTACTGAAGAGCAATGGTGTCTCCCTGAAGACTAAGGTGCATCTGATACAGGCCATGGTCTTCGCAATCACTAGTTATGCATCAGAGAGTTGGACAATGACCAAGGAGGATAGAAGGAGAATTGATGCCTTTGAGCTGTGGTGCTGGAGAAGAGTATTGAGAATACCATGGACTGCTAGGAAAACAAACAGATTCATCCTGAAAAGGGTTAAACTGGCGGCTCCTTGGAGGCAAGGATTCTGAGGCTCCGTCTAACATACTTTGGACATAATGTGAGGAGAGACCGGTCCTTGGAGAAGGACATCATGCTTGGGAGGATGGAGGGACAGTGCAGGAGGGGAAGGCCCTCTATGAGGTGGATTGATTCAGTGACTGCGATAATCAGAATGGGAGTGTCAGAGACAGTGCGATTGACACAGGACAGAGCGGAGTTTAGGGCTGTTGTACATAGGGTCGCTATGAGTTGCAAGCAACTCGACGGCACATAACAACATAGGGTTTCCAAGGCTAAAATCTTTCTAGAAGCAGACTTCCTGCCAGGGAGTGACTAGTGAGTTTGAAATGTCAATCTTCTGGTTAAGCACCTAACCACCGTGGCACACATTTTATTAATAAAAATTCATAATTAAATTAAGGTTTACTGTTGGTGTTATATAGTCTTATAAATTTGAGCAATTGCATTAGTATCATATGCCCACCATTAGAACAGCCTAAAAGTATTATATTTTAGGGCATTATTTTTATCATAGGAGTAAGCAACCATTGTAAGAATGGTGTAGGATCAGGTATCTGTTGTACATCTAATAATAACAATACTGTATAAGAGCACTGATTTCTCAAAACTGCTTTAATTGACATATCTAATCATTATTAAAATATTTCCTTTTTTTCAATGAGACCCTTTATATGTTCTTCATCTGCAAGTACCTTTGCCCTTTTGTCAACTGTTATCAGACTATTCTTTTTTTTAAGTGTTTTTTTTTAATTCACTACTCTTTATTTATTTATTTATTCTTTTTATGTGTGTACCATCAAATAGGATCTGACTGGTACAGGAGGCGATTGTTCCTCCTTCTTCAGCAGAGCATCTGGTGGATTTGAACCGTGCACCTCTGGGATTGCAGTGCAGTTTCTTGCCACTAGGCCACCAGAGCTCACCAAGACTATTCTTAAAACTCTGTTAAAGCTTGTTTATCACAATTTCCTATCAATTTTGCTTTTATGAATTGTGTAATAAATGTAACATAATCATGCCTATATTTCTTCACTCTTGGGATTCTTTAATTGGTGGTGATTCTAGCATTGTTCATGTTATCTTCAGTTTGCCTACAAATATTTATTAAATGCCCACTGCACGCAGGACATAGTTGGCAGTGGTGAGGATAGTCATAATCACAATAACATGTCTGCTAACAGATACCCTATTTAGGTATACAAAAGAGAAAGAATATAACCCTCAACAAATGAATGAATGGATAAATTAAATGTAGCACATACATACAATGAAATATTTTTCAGCCATAAAGAAACAAAGGCCAATACATGATACTACATGAACGAGTCTTGAATACATTACATTAAGTGAAATAAGTCAGAAACAAGAGGATACATATTGTAAAATTCTATTTATATGAAATACACAGAATTGACACATGCCTGAAGACTGAAAGTAGATTAGAAGTTTTCAGAGACTGGAGGAATGAGAGAATGAGAAAATGAGGAGTTTTGCTTAATTAGTACAGGGTTTCTATTTGAGACAATAAATGGATTTTGGAATTAAAAAGCAGTGATGGTTATATAACATTGTAAATGCACAGAGTACTTAGTATTTACACACTTAGAAATGGCTAAAGAAGAAAATATCTTGTTATATATACATCATCATAAGTGTAAATAAGTGTGCAAATAAATGCATCACATAATACTTAGTGGTAAAAGGGGATGAGGTGAAACACAGCACAGGATGAGGGGAAAAGGATGGAAGGAGGTGTGGTTTTCAAAGGGCTTTTGAAAAGAATTAGCTGATTGCTGAAAAGGTGTAGGAAGTACTCACAGTAATTTTCTTATAATTTTCTTTTTATATTTAACCCATTAATTGACCTTGAATTTTGCAGTATATGTTATGAAAAGGGCTTTAAATTCTTTTTTTCCAATTTTTATACAATTATCTCAACACTTTCTGCTTTCTGCTCTGTTTCCAAAGGTGTTTTGTCTCAACCTGTGGATCTTTCTAACAATCTACTCTTTTGGATCACTTTTTCCAAAAAAATTCACTAATTCTTGCTTACTCTTCTGTAGAATTTCCAAACCAGCCTTTCCATGTCCCAAATAAATTTCTTTTAAAAAATGTTTATATCATAATTGTAGTGAAAAATATACACAGCAAAACATACACCAGTTCAATACTTTCTGTGTACGCAATTTAGTGGCATAGATTACATTCTTCAAATTGTTCAGCTATCTTCATCCTCTTTTGCTAAGGTGTCCCACTGTATTAACATAAATTCACTTTCCCGTAAGGTTCCCATCTAATCTTTCAAATTGTTGCTGTCGATTTGATCTTGTCTTGAAAGATTTTAGACAAGTACAATGCTCAAAATCCCTTTTCTTTATAACACTTCCCATAGAGCCTTGCCAAATATATGCATATTGCTTTTTATAAAAAGAATATATGAATGAATTAAACACTCATTTAGATATTTTTAACTCTTACCAAGGCCTGAGGGCTGCTCATTCTTTCTTCTTGGTCACAAATGGCAGAACTAATCACCTCTTACACACATGCATGTCCAAGCCCCAAAACCACACTCCTACATTCAGCTTCAGACACAAGGTACATAGTACAAGGTACACAGTACTTCACTGCTTTATTACAAACTCACTATAAACTTAGAGGTTCTATTAACAATTGAGAAATGAACAGAGTCCTTCTAGAAAGAGCCATTTTTATAATAAAATATATTATTTGTACTTGGAATTTTTTTCTTTTAATTCTTTTCATTAGATGGTATTAAATATCTTCCTGTTCAATCTTCATTGTAGGTAGACCATATGCTTTCCTGGTTCTGTGTTTACACCATCTGTGCATGAAGATTCCTCCCAAAACCAAGAACACAAGCGAGAGGGGAGCCACTGCCATTCCCCAGGAGAAGGTGGATGCTGTGGGAAGAACAGAGTCAGGTCAGAGGGACAATCCCAATCCAATATATTGGAAAATGAGAGCAGGATTACAAAGAAAAGGGAATGGGCATTGGATAGTTGTTTCTTACATAGGTGGTTTGGCTTTTCAGAAAGTATATCATTTATACAAGGATCAAGGATATTTAAGGAAGGTGCATGTGACCTTGGAGAAACAAGCCAAGTGGAACAAAATCCATCAGAAGGGAAGAACATAGATGAGAAAGGTGAGCCTCGAGGCGTTGGCCTAGTTGTAAAGTGAGCATGTAGGATGTCATCTCTTTAGATTTCAGTTACCAACTGTGATATAGTCATGGATGGTTTCCCCTTTCCAATGACTCTGGGTACCATAAGAATTAAACAGTCACCACTACCAGAATATATTTTTCTTCATAACAGGGAAGTCTAAAGCTATCCTGAACTCTGTATCTTTCTTGTCCTCTGCTCCTGGAAGATGATGATTCTAAACTTTGAGACAAAGGATGTTCCTCTCTCCTCTCAAGGTCATGTAAGGACAGTGGTGATGCTAGTGGTCTAGTGAAGAACATATTGTGGATAAAACGGTGTTTACAAGTTTATGGCAAGCTAATGTGTTATCTTTATTCTACAAAAATAAGCTTGCTACTATTTTTCATTGTATTATTATTTCTTTTCTTTGAAAGATGGTCCAGTCTCCACCCTCAGGAAATCAGAGGTTTTATTTCAGTGTCACACTGCAGGAAACACAAAGGAATCAGAGGCTAGGAGCTTTGCCAGTCATCCACAGAACATCAAACACGTTATTTTCTACTTCAGCAACCCCAAATACTTACCTTCTTTGACCATGGTGCGCAGTGTCTGAAAACTCAATCTATTAGTGACGGTGCATTTAAAATCTGTGTCCAAATCCTCTCTTTTGACTGGGTCAAAAATCAGTGGCACTTCAACATAGTTCTCATTATTTTCTGAATATTCCCTGAGTGAGAAAATATTTAGTCAAGTATGATGTATCATATGTAAGCTTGTCTTAGGATTTAGACATTCATACTTTCTCAACAAGAAGCATCTTCCAACCTGAACTAGAAGGCTATTATGAAACCTTCTTATCAGAGGCATAGTGGACACTCCTGGAGAGAACAGGTGAAAATGAGGCCAAACTCGAATTCTTAAAAAAGTCCAGACTTACTGGTCAAAGTCAAATAAGAAGATTCTATGAGAGCATTATTCTAAACCTTGAACAAGAGGATTCCATGAGAGTATTATTCAAAACCTTGAACAAGAGGATTCTATGAGAGTATTATTCTAAACCTTGAACAAGAAAATTTTATGAGAGTATTATTCTAAACCTTGAACCAGAACTATATCCCCTTTAGGTCACCTTTTAGCAAAATAACAAATTGGCAAACAAAGTAGAGGATGCTACCTGCAAATATAGTGGTAAGGTGTTTTTTTTAAAAAAAAATATGAAACCAAAAGTTCAATTCTTACACTAAATAGGGGAGAGGAAAGCAGAGGTCTGGGAATGAAACCAACAGAACATAACTGAAGAGAATGTGGCCCATTGTGAGGGGGGAAGGTGGAACGTAACTAATGTCACTGAGCAATCTGTACAATTTGGATAAGAAGTATCAAAGGGGAATCAAAATTGCCATATAAACTTCCACAAAAATACATAAGATTTTTTTAAAGAAAAGAAGAAGTATCATTTGTGCTTAAGTCGATTTCAAGATTTATCAAATTGGGAGCCGACACTACTGTATTGGTTACTGATGGGGAGAATTTGCAAGCCTGTCCTGAAAGCATAAGCGGTACAGATGGTGCTAGTCACTGTAGCAGGAGAGGTGTTACAGTAACAGTAACTAGGTTTGAGTAATGGAAAATATAATTGTTAAGGCCTTTGAAAAATAGCCAAATGAGAACCAGCAGTGAAGATAAAAATGTTTTCTTTGGGGACACTGCTGTGTCATCAATTGCATATTCAAAGCTAGGTAGTTTCCAGAACTCCAGTCCTTAACAATCAATCCTCCCACCTTTCCTCTCCATTACTGGCTCTCATTTGGGAACTTCTGATTTGAGGAGGTGTGCAGACAGACCTAGGAAGCAGCTTTTGTCTTAATGACTGACATTCACAATGGTAGAGAAATCTGAAGGCACGCATATTTCCCTACTACAGATCAGAACACATTCCCTGGAAAAGCAGAGTGTCAGGAGAAGGGAGGGAGACCTTCAGCAAGAGGGATTGATACAGAGACTGCAGACATGGGCTTCACCATGGTCAAATGTGTGGGGATTGTAGGAGAGAGCGAGGTTTCGATCCCCAAGTCCTGGGTCACTCTGAGTGGGACTGACCTCATGACACTTAACAGCAACAACAACGTTTTGTTGTAGACCTATGAGGGTTATTTGTATTTTAACAGGGTTAGGAGGGGAGAATTATGATTCTTTAAGTAAATAAAAGCTGTGAGTTAGCTAACAGAGGACATGTGAATTGTGTAGCTAATTCTTTCACAACAAAGATTTTGCAAGCCACATTTGAACAAATCACACACAATTTGGTTTATCTAGTAAATTGCATCTCAAAAGACTTTTTAAAAAAATTAATAGATATGGCTGGTGGTAAAAGAACATGCTAATTCAAAGTATTAAAACCGTGACTGAAAAAAGACTTCAGAAGTTGGGATGTTTAATGTCTTCTCTCTTCATAACCACATGGTTCCCACTTATGAGGTCTAGGTGTTCTAGTTTCAGTGAGAAAATGTGTTCTAGAAATGAATGCTCACAAGAATAGAACACTCTCTTTTAACTGAAGCCTCCCATGGAGTCTAAGGCCCCACATTTCCCTGAGAAGCAGAGGAGACACTCCAGATACTGTGGCTAGATCTGAGTCTTCTCAAGGATTTATTAAAATGTTTGCGATTCAGGTTGCAGGGAAGAAGACGTAAGTATTAGCTTCAAAATATTTTTTAAAGTACCCAAAAAATGAAGTAATAAGGCTTAAGTGCAAAATCACTATCAGCCTATTAGCTGTCATTCACTCCTTTTATGGTATCTTTGTATAATGTCTGATTCAAAGGAACAGCTGATCAACCTTAGCAATGCTTCATTTCTTTAGACTCTAAAACCTATAAATATAAGGTGCTCTGGTGACCTAGTGGACAAGGAGTTTTGCTGCCAACCCAAAGGATGGTGATTCAGATCCTTGGGAGGAAGATGGGTAATCTCTTGTGCAATTTACAGCTCTAAGGATCAGCAATGAGGTGTACTCAAAATATACTTTTTGATACAGTATGTGTGTGTGATACTTAATTTCGGTGTGGTATCATCTCTGAAAAAAAAGAGTGGATTTAACAGAGGCCCTACAACAAACATTTCTGTCCAGAATACTCTTCTAATATGTCAAATAAGAGGGGTCCACATACCTGTCTGGCCCCTCAGTCACTCGGCCATCTGGGTAGGCATTGTCTATGATGGTGTCATTGGCTGTCCACCACACCATGGAGATTGATTTGACGCCAACTCCTAGGAACACCTTGCATGGGATTGTCAATCTTGAGCCTGTATACAGCAAAGCACACACATATATCATGAGGCCCAGCACAGAAAAGGAGCTCCCCACATCCACCAGCAAACCTGAGCTGTGGACTCTTCCTCCTCTTTTTAAACTCCTTAACCAGGCAATTCTTTCCTTACAAGGAAAATTGGTTCCTCTTATTATTCTGGTCAGATAGAGCTCTAGTATCGCTCTAGTGTCTATCAAATGCCCTCCAGTTCTAGAAACTGGTCTAATGGCAGAAAAAAACCTCAGAGCAAGTGAAGTAAGTGTCTTTCCGAAGGCCACTTAATCTCTCACTCAGGGCATTCTGAATTCCACCGCTGACTTCCTCCCAAGTTTATTCTATTTACTGAAAAATCCAAATTAACACCTCAATTCTTTCATTCTTACCATTGCTGATCTCAATACCAAATTTTATCTGGGGTCTCACTAAAAAAACAAAAATATACTCTCCCTTTCCAAATGGCTCTCATTTCATATTAATCCCTCAGAAGGTAACCATATCTTAAGTGAATGGGGCTCTCTGCCCTACACATCTTGTAAGTGATTTTCCCCCCTTTCTAATTCACCAAGAGAACAAAAAGAAAAAACAAAGCACATCTCCTTCCCACTTTTTATTCCCCTCCTGGGTAATTGCATAGTGGTTTCTGATAAGCTTGGCACCATTTCCTAGTCAGGATGCCAAGTCTTTTCTCCCTTGTTAAATAACCATATGAGCTCAAACATCTCCCTCGGATCTCATTGTCTCTCACTGTTGTCAGGTTGGAACTGACTCATAGCTGACCCTCCCGTGAGTTAACAGAGGAGATAAACCATCTGAGAGGAGACTGCCCATCTTCCACCCATGCAGCCACTGATGGGTTCAAACCACCAGAGAGGCGTTGCCTTTGAGTGAGCAGCTCAGCTCTCTACAGACTCCACCAGTTTTCCCTAGTTCCTTCAGGTAAGAGAAATGCATTCAATCAGAAATTACGTAACTCTGCGATGACACTAGTTTATTAAAAGCAACCAGGTGAGAGAATTCTGGGCAGAAAGAGGGTGTGGCTTCGCTTAGATTCTAACCCCTCCAGTGCCGGCCCCACATAAAGCAGCTTGCATCTGTGCCTGACCCCGAGGGACTGGGAAGCAGTGACCAGGGGATAGTTGAGGAACACAAGTTCAATCAGTGAATCAATCACAAGTTTCACATTAAGGACACCACTTTTCCCACTATCCCTTCCAGCACTTAGCAGACTGTCAGCTGTCATAAATGAAGGAAGTGGTCTTCGCAGTGGAAATACAAAATACAGTGATTATCCGGAGGACACAGGGAGATAAATTTGTTTGAAGAATTGCATAAATTTGAAAGATAGTAGTAATAATTGAACTGCATCTTAAAGGTAATTAGTGCTACTGAAGGGAACATTTAAAAATTGTTAAAATAGCAACATTTATGTCATTTATTTTATCACCACCAGCAGCACAATATATTTTTTTTAAAAAAGCAGAAGTGAAAACTCACTAGGACTCTACAACTAGGATTCTTTAAATGAATGCAAGAACTTCAAAAGCATCGTACAAAAACAATCATACAAAAAGAGCACAGGGATGTGTGTGTGTGTGTGTGTGTGTGTGTGTGTGTGTGTGTGTAGTTGTAACTGCAGCAGTTCCTGCCACCTTCACTGATTGCAGTGGACTGTCTGATAAGGGCCAGCAGATGGAGGGACCCGCCCACTACTAAAGGGTGGACTCACAAATGCCAACTCTATCCAGAATTTCCATCACCTCATTCACCCAACCGACCAGCTGCTTTGGCCACAAGAAACTATGTCTAAAGGGTCAGTCGAGTCTGGGCCTGCCTTACTTTACAGACTCTTAAGGAAATGCTGTCCATCAATCAAGTTTTGTTTGATTGCTTGATTGCTTGTTTTAAATACAGTTCATTATCACAACTTAGACTAGTTAACTTCTCCAAAGTGTCCATGAACACTGAATTAATGAGTATCGAAACATTGCTCCAGGGGAAATACAAGGTTAAATGCCTACAGTCTCCATTTTCACCAATCAATATATAACCTTTTTTGTTGTTGTCATGTTGGTTAGCTTACAAAGATCATATACATTGTGTTTAGCACTAGCCTTCATTCACATTGTGTTTCATACAATCATTCCCTCCCAGGCATTATGCTTTATAAAATTCATTACCATTGGACTGTACCCACCATTACCCTGTCTTTTCGGGTGTGCACCTGATCTTTCCCATTTCCTCCACCCCCTCCCTCTATCCACCATATGGTTCAATCCTGTGGTTTCACCCCTACCCATCCTCACCCTTCTGCTCTCACCCCTTCCCCCTTTGGGTCCCCATAAATGTTTTACTAGTTATCCTTCTACTTTTACAATAATGGTCTTATGCAGTATTTTGTCCTTATTAGATAGAGTTAGTTCACTCAGCATAATGCTCTCCAGTCCCTCCAAAATTATGTAGTACTTTTCAAAATCGTTGCTCCTGAATGTTGTATAGTATTCCAGTGTGTGACTTTTGGGTGTTTCTGCTTCAAGGACATGTAATCGAATTCTGTTTTCCTTTTTTAACACTGAGTTCACAGACAACCATGCTATAACTCATGCCTAAGCAAAGTTTACCTAATACATCTGTTTCCTCCATAAAGCACATCACAAACTTCTTGACTGAGGAGCACTTAAACAGCACTTCGGTAATATGCTTTTAACTATTTTACACATTGAATCCTCAAGAAAAGGACAAGAAATGAAAAAGAAAGTGGTACTAAATGTACCTCAGAAAGGATTCTTGTTTATATTCTGGATCTGAGTGTCACCTTATTCCGCCAGCTAGGAGCAGGCATGTGGAACAACTCAGATTTTTTTTTTTTTACTGCTTTCACATGTCACCTAATGATCACAAAAGTTCTACCAAGTATTGATTTGGGGGTTATGAATAAGTGTTAGCAAGTAAGAGAATGAGATACAAACACTGCTCATAATACAGAATGTATACCAAAGGTGCCAATTATATAATGGGACTTTACAGCTAATCCTTTCATGGCATGAAATAACCTCTACCAAAAGTGTTCATGGATTGGGGTTTTCTAACATTTTGGAGTGGGGGTTTTTTGTGGGTTTGTTTTGGTAGGTTTTTTGGTTTGTTTTTTTTTTAGTGTAGAGATTTTTAAAACTTGCTTCAGTTTTTAAAATAATGAAAAATTCACACACAAAAAAACATGCAGGTGCTCAACGTTTCCAAGTTGAACAGAGAATTCTTAAACAAAAACGACATGCTTACTTGCTTGTTCCCTCAGAGTCTTGGTTTGATTCTTGTTGTTTCGTACCATCAAGTTGCCTGTGACTCACAGCAACCCTAGGCACAATAACTCTGAACCCTGCCCTGTCTTGAGCCAGTCTCACTGTCTCTAACACACCTGCTCCTATTACCCCAGTCACTGTGTCAATCCATCTCATCCAGGGCCTCCCTCTCCAGCACTCTCCCTCCACTCTTCCAAGCATGATGTCCTTCTCCAAGGATTGGTCCCTCCTGACAACATGTCCAAAGCATATCAGACAAAGCTTCACATTCTTTAACTCCAGAAAGAAACTTGGTTTCACCCTCTCCAGAACAGACCTGTTTGTTCTCTTGGTTTAATAGGGATGAGAAAATCAGAAAACGGCAATGTGAAAGGGGGATATTAGGGCCCACAGCAGAAAGTAGCTAGCTTCCATGCTTTCACACAAGTAATTATTATTAAGATGATTGTACAGGGGGAAGCCACAATATACATGAATGAAATATAATGTAAATGAAAGATTGTATAAAACATGCATGCATGAAACACAAGTATATGAATGATAAATATATATATATATACATATATAACATAGATACATACAAACATATATACATACACTCTCATTTTCTTGTGGACCTTTCATGAAGCAAGGTCGACTTGTTTTGAAACGACATGTGACAAAGAGACTACTCCACTGTAGTTGATATTTCTGACTCACATACTAGGTTTCTAGGGCTTCAACCCAAACACCCATGCACCAGACACCACAGAGGCACACAGAGCAGAGACCAGGGGCCTGAGACCCGCCCTCCAGAGTTCTGTACTTTCAGTCAGAACCTGAGACAATGTGGGCCAAGTGACACAGCGCCAGCAGGCCTTACCCATTGAAGCTAATATCGTTTGGTGGGGTGACACAATCACCGGAATCGGCTCCTCTTCTTTTTCTGAGAAAGATGAAAGGAAAAGAGACTCAATTAGGAATAACTCTCCTTTCAAGCTGATGTTCAAGTTCCCATTGTTTGGCTAATTAATTAGTTACCCTTAACAGTTTGGCCAGACATTGAGAGAATCGGCTTTTGGCAAGAAAATAGTCTTGGTACAAAAATTGAACATCTCTAGCCAACACTTTTCCCAGCAGTGAGATTATGGGAAGAAGTCATAGACAAGCACACACATCCCCCTCACAGACTTTTTTGCTCTGTAATAATCATTAACCATACATACCCTTCCTAGGCTTCCTGAGTGCCTTCAAATAGTAGTTTACAATATCCACATTGTAAACTTTATCCAAACATAGATCTGCCCTAAAATATCTTTCCACTGCCTGCCGGGGATCCATTCTTTTAAAAAAAAAAAAAAAGCACAGGGTTCAAAACTCATAGTATTGGCCTCTAGTGTCTTTGTTCACTCATTAGATAAACTGCTTGGGGAGGTAAGGGTGGATCCCCTAGGGAATGGAACCCAGCTCTCCAAAAGGCAGAGCTCCTGCCAGCTTGAAGAAGCCAGGCCCTTGAAATGGAACAAAAAAGAAGAGTTAGAGTGAGTGAAAGCCCGTCCCTCTCCATAACTGGCCGCTTCTCACTTCTTCCACCAAGGAGCATTTTGAAATTCTAACATGTGTAAACATTAAGCAGTGTGACAGCATAACCCGAGAAGCACAGAGCTTCTTCCCTCCCTCCCTGCCAGCTGTTTCCAGCCATGAGGAGCCCCTCACAATGCCCCTTTGAAAGGAAGGGCCTCAAGGACTAAGTCTACCAGTGGTCCTCAACTCAAAACTTGTGTCAGAATCCCCTGCAAAGTTTGTAAAAAGAGAGTGTTAACCCGTCCTCCTCTGTTCCCTACCCTAGAGAAAATGATTCAGTGGATCTGGGAAGTCACCCAAGATGTTGCAAGTCTGAAAAAGCAGCTGACCTCCTGAGAACCAGCAAGAACCAACCACCTTTGCCACACTGGATAAGATGTAGGTTGGCTGCCCCCTACTGTTCACGTGTGGTATCGAACCAACTGGACTAGGACGGACCGTTCTAGCTAAGGGGAATCTCTGGCCCTGTGGGGAATAAAGGGAGTTGATGGGATTGATCCCTACAGGACAATAAAACAAATTTAGAGACCAGTTCATGGGAGGCATGATTTCACTAAACTTAAGCGCAGGGTTTTCTGTGAGCAAAGCTTAGACTCCCTCTTTTACATCAATCATTTAACAATACATTTTCAAAGTTCTCTGAAATTCCCTTAAAGCTTCCAATTGTGTTACCTATTATCATTCAAGAATATGCCAGATCAGGAAAAACAGCACATTCTCCTGAGCAGAGACCAAGACTTAAATGCTATTATGCCCCTCACCCTCTTCAGCAAGTAGGAAACAGTACATGCTGAACAGACTTTTAAAAACTAGTCACCCCTGTTCTCAGCATCACTTTCACTACAAATTCAATAAATAAGATCTCTCACTATGAGATCCTGATACCAAAGGCAACTAGACATGTCTCAGAGAAGACAAAGAGGGTCATTCCTCTGGATATGCCGAAGTGCATGCTTCTGATCAGAAAGTCAAATAAAACCAAACATCCTGAAATTACACCTAAGATTATGGCAACTGCACTTGAATACAGAGAATGAGCAGTCTCCTACGGTGTGACTTCCTACATCTGAAAACCTGCTGGAGGGTCAACTATGGGTCATTTCTGACTCAATGGTACACAACAACAAACAACAGCAGGGTTTTTTACCAATGCGGCTCCCAAAGCAGATTTTTGTTCCTTCTGTGTCATTCTCTGGCAGCCTAATTAACAGGGACTTGCACTACTGACTCAAAGGCAGGCAGTTTGAATCAATTAGTTGCTCCAAGAGAGAGAGAGATGGGCAGTCTCTTCGGGAGCCATTTACAGCATCTGAAAACCTGCTGGAAAGTCAGCTATGAGCCGGTTCCATCTTTATGCCAATGAGCTGCTGTTGTTGGGCAGTGTGCTTTGAGAGCGCTAGGGAGATAGTCCATAGTGAGCTGCATTGCTAACCCAAAGACTAAGAGTCTCAGGGAGTTCAAGTCCTTCAGCAACTCTGAAGGAGAAGACTGGTAATCAATCTCTCATTGTGATTTGGAGCCTCAGAAACCCCAAGGAGGGTAACTATGAGTCCGAACCAACTCAACAGTGGTGAGTAAATGGGTGAGTGAACGCAGTGAGTGCGTGAGTGAGTATTGTGTATTCACATCAGTTATGGAACCCTATCACAACTTTCCAGAAACTCCCCATTCCTCAGATCACTTGCCACCTTTGTACCTTTCAGAGTGCAACACACATGTCTTATTAACCTGATGTTTTTGACTTGTTGTCTTATCTGGTTGTCTTTGTCATTCACGCCAAAGTCATCTGAGGAATTCTATGTGAATTAACTCTTCTTTGCACTCTTGTTACTGAGCATGAAGGGAAAGTACCTTTATGACAAGGACTTACCGTTGATACGCACTTTGATATTTCGTGTGATGGTGTATCGAGTGCCATTGTGGGAAAATGCCATGTCACAGCTGTAATAGCCTCCATCTGTCTCGGACACATTGCGTATGAATAAACGAGTGGTTCCCCTCAAGCTTTGAAACTTGTTACTGTCTTGATCCAGAAGCACAGAATCCTTTAAATAAAGAGGGGAGGGAGGTTAAGTCACACCAGACATCGGTGGATATCTCAGAAACTTGAGTAACAGTAATGGGTATCTACCAATACATGTAACAGGGAGTTCTGGTGCCTTACTGGTACAGAATTGCACCACTAATGCGCTATGCCATTCAAATTTACCAGTTGCTCTGCAGAAGAAAGATGGGCAGTCTCCTCCCATCTGATACACTGCCTCTGAAAAATGCTAGAGGGCAGCTATGGGTCAGTGCCAAGTTGGTACAAAGCAACAAAATCAACATTGCCACCAATTTATAAGCCAAGAATTGACTTGGTACTTACTTTGATAGAGTTGTACTTTGAACATACATCTACCTTCATTTCTTGGAAAAGGAAATTTACCAGCATATAAAAGTATTGGATTAGTTTAAATGGCATAAAAAAAATGACAATGATTTTCTTTTCTTGGACAAAGTAAATCTTTTAGCATTCAATATGTTTATGAAGAGCATTATATATGTAGGAATAGTGATTCGCATGACAATACTCAGACATTGCAGTAATTATTTTAATGTCGTCATCATTTTAGAAGTCAATAAAGATAAAGAAAACTTCAGAGAAAAAACAAAATGGGAGAAATGGCTCTCTTATTTTTTCTTATATGAATAAATGCTGTTGAGGTTTTCCTGCAAAATCAAGCCTTCAGACCATGGCTTCCAAAAAAATTCCAAAAAGTAAGTAAGATTTGATAAAACATTCTAATGAGCACAAAATGTTCTCAGGGACATTTCTTTCAAAATCATGATAATTGAAAGTTTACATTAGTCAAATATAATCTGAGTCATTTCATAATCTTATTCTAAATGAAAACATGGACATAATTGAAACCAGGTGTTCATCACAATGACAAAGTATGACTTTGCAGTATATTTAATTAAATGTGAAAAATGGCATTGTTTCTAACTCATTGCCTAGTCAATGCTGAGTCATAGGAACCAAAGGTCAATTGCAGAACCATCCCCAGGGAATCCAAGACCATAAACCTTTGCGAAGCTGACTGTCACATCTTCCTCCTAGGCACAGATGATAAGTTCAATCTGACATCCTTCTGGTTTTCAGCCTGGTCCTTTAACCATTGCACCACCACCTTTCCTTGTTTCTAATTGTTGTTGTTATGTGCCATCCAGTCTCCTGTAACTCACAGGAAACCCTATGTAATGCAAATCTGAACCCTGCCCTATACTGAGTCAGTCTCACACCTAATCCCATTGCCCCAGTTATCGTGTGAATCCATCTCATCCAGGGTCCTCCTCTCCTGCACTGTTCCTTCACTCTTCTGAGCATGATGTCGTTCTCCAAGGATTGGTCTCTCCTGACCGCGAGCCCAAAGTAGGCAATACAAAGCTTTAAAATCCTTTCCTCCAAGGAGGAACTTGGTTTCACACTCTCCAAGACAGACCTCCTGGAGGTCCATGGTATGCTCAATACTCTTCTCCAGCACCACAGCTCAAAGGCATCAATTCTTGTTCTGTCATCTGTAGTCACTGTCCAACAATCTGAGATAAAGCATGTGATCATGAAGACCATGGCCTGCATCAGGCATGGTCAAACTGGAAGAAAATCTAAATAGGTCCCAGCACCAAAATTTTTCCAAGGTCACAAGCCATCAAGGTTTCCCCGTGCAGCAGTTGTGTGCAGAACTTGATTGCCTCTGGGAGAATTTTCACTGCACCAACTAAGTGACCTTGACCAAGTTTCTTACATTTATGTTTCTGTTTTCTAATCTATAAAAACGGAGCTCTGGTGGCTTAGTTCAGGGAATTGAACTGAAAACTCAAAAGCTGCTCAAGCAAAACAGATGAGCAATTTTCTTCTGTGTGATTTACAGCCTCAGAAGCTCAGTGAGTCACCTCAGCTATGAGTTGGTTCCTACTTGATGGCAATGAGAATTTATAAAATGGTGATATTAAAAGTCTCTGTGACTTTGGGTTGCATGTCAGAGTTTAGAATGGACTTGTACACCATATACACTTGATATTATGAAAAAATATTTTTCATCATCACTGTAATATCTTTGCCCACACATATTTATTGAGATCCTCTGTCTTAGAGGTCTTCATAGGTCCTTCACAGACATCATTTCATTTCAACTTCAAAACAATCCCCAAATCAAACCCACTGTCATTGAGTCCCTTCTTAGTCTGGGCAACTTCATGTATGAAAGAGTAGAACTACCTCATAGAGTTTTGTTGATGATAATCTTCATGGAAGCAGCTAGCCAGGCCTTTTTCCATGGAGCTAGTTAGGTAGGTTTGAACTGCCAATGTTTAGATAAGCAGCCAATCAAAGTCCACTTGCACTAAAGGTTTTGAGGATTATTAGTGACTATTTCACAGAGTAATATCTTTTAGAAAGGTAAAGTAACTGGCCCAAAACTGCACAACATGTAAACAATGGAGCAGAGTTGCAAGTTCAACTTGGTGAAATCCTCCATTTGTCCTTATGACTATTCTAAAACAAGAGGAAATTTATTCTACAATGGGGCTGTAGAAGCTGGCTACTTTGCCTTCATAAAACTATTCAGAAGCTTTCAACATTAAAGTGAGACATATATATCTCCAGAGTATTTATGTAAATATGCTTTCATGGCTTAGTGGTAACTAAGGAGTTGCGCTGATAACGCAAAGGCAGGCAGTTCAAATTCACCACCTACTCCATCAAAGAAAGATGGGCAGTTTCCTCCTGTGTCATTTACCACCTCTGAAAACCTACTGCAGGCTTAGCTAGGAGTCATTTCTGACTCAACAATACACAACAACAACAACACATATATAGATATTTATACACTCATTGAGATGGATGATAGATAGATAGATAGATAGATAGATAGATAGATAGATAGAAAATGTATATATCACCTATAAATCTGTAGTTATAATCCTAGTGAACTAATCAAATTATTATTGACTGCAGGATTAATTTCTATATTTTGGTTTTAATCTATGTTGCTGTGTTCTATAGAATATATAACAACATAGCTGATCCTCCAGTGAATTTTCAGAGACAGGAAATCATACAGGACAAGATACTCCCACAGAGTAGCTGGTGGATTTGAAAGGCATACGTTTGTGTTGGGAATCCAATTTAACAAGCCATTATAACTCTCTTTTAATCTATAGTCTACCAAAGGTAGACAAGCATTTCCAATAAAGGGCCAGATCGTAAATGGGGCTTTGCAAATCCTATTGTCTCTGTTACAACTACTAAAAGCTGCTGTTTTGGGGGAGTAAGTATCCAAAAGTAATAGGTAAGATTCTCAGTTTCTGCTGCTGAATCCCCTCAATTTTTTTTTTTTTAATTTAGGTTGTTTATTTTTCATTTCAGTGAACATCTACAGAGATTTTGGGATTCCATTCATTCATTGTTGCACCCTTCTCCCCGCACAAAACCCCCCCCCCATTTGCTCCTCTCCTTGAAAAGCAAAAGAAAAACTCCCTCATTGGTACACAATCCCCCCCGCACCTCCCCAAACCCCACACCCTAGCCCCAAATATAATCCACTCTACAACCCTCATTGCATACTCCTACGATAAAAATAATGCCCTAAAATATAATACTTTTAGACTATTCTCTCCCCCATACTTAATGATAAGACTAGCCAATTTACTTGTGACTAGATCAACATAACCCAGTTCTCATGTCCCAGCCCATCCATGTGGCCAAGTCAAACTCGATGGACCCTTGACAACATAGACCATTCCCTAGATTTTCTAATTATTATTGTTTGTATTTGAAAAATCAACTTTCCCCTTACAATCCCCTTACTAATAACCACATTTGTGAAAGTATGTAAACTAATAATGGTACTATTGTCAGCAAAAATAATAGGTAAATGAACAGGCATGGCTATGTTCCACTAGAAATTTAGTAATGGACAATGAAACATATTTCATGTGATGTTTACATGTCATGAAATATTATTCTTCATTAAAAATTATTTTAGACCAAGCAGTAATAGGTAGACAGCTCAATATGGCACATAAGCTGCAGCTGACGGACTACTGGTCTCTAGAGATAATTCCTGAGGTTCATCACATTAGGAGCCACCAAAATTTTTTTAAAAATAAATAAATTATTTAAATTTAAAAAAAACACACAAACCACAAAACAGTATTTACTCAACTAGGCAAGGACTAAATTATATTAATATTTACTGCTTTAAAGTAAAAATTACCATAAGCTTTGAAAATATCTTTTAGGTATCATTATTGTCATTGTTGTTGTTAAGAGCCATTGAGTCAACTATGACTCATAGTAACCCTGTGAACAACGCATCGGAGCCTCGTCATATTCTGCACCATCCTCATCATCCTGCATATATAATCATTACAATCACTACGTCGATCCATGTGGAGGTTCTTCCCCTCTTTTCCTTTTTACCTTTCAAAGCATAATGGTTTGATTGTGTTTTTTTTTTCCCAAGGACTATTCTCTCCTGACAACATGCCCAAAGAATGTGAGAAAGAGTTTCACTGTCCTTTCCTTAAATAGAAATCTTTAAATAGAGTTTAGAAAATAGCATTATTACATAGGCACAGTAACATTGACTACTATGTTCAGAAGCATTTCAGTAATTATTTTTAAGTCATTTTCATTTTAGAAGTCAACAGCTCGCTAGATATCAAGTCAGTTTCCACTCATAGTGACAGTGCTATGATCTCTCAGAAACAGACCACAGGCTTATCTTCTGAGGTCCATCTGAATAGGTTCAAACCACTAACTTTTAGGTAGTAGTAAACAAATAAATGTTTGTCCCACTCAGGGAGTCCATGATGTATGCAAAGTTGTTACATAAACCGGTAAATTTTTCCTAAATTTGTGCTAACAAAGAGCAGAGTAAAAGCTTATTTCCATCTGCAATTACTCATTGTAAACTCATTTCTTATCCTGTCCTCAAAAGACGAAACTGTCACAATTCTTACTCACGCCACCCAGGGCTAACAGAGTAGAAGAAGTGTGACTCTTTTATTTAAAAAAAAAACTAGTAATTTTTAACGTGCAGAAATGTAAAAAGAAATGTGTCATCTTTAGAGATAAGTAGGTGATATCATCTAAAAAGAGTTACCTGCTGATAAACACTGGTTCAAATCCGCCAGCAGTTCTGCAGGAGAAAAATGCTCAATGTCCTCTCATACGATTTACAGCCTCAGAAACCAAGTGGAGGATGAGCTAAGTAAGAGTCAGATACAGCTGCAGTGGGTTCGAGCTGAGTTTTATGGTTGCTAAAACACTTTTTTAATGAAATAGCAATGTCTACAACTGTACCTTGTACCACTGAATGTTCAAGTCTGTTGTGTTACGGGTGAATTCACTCAGCTCAGGGCAAACTAGCAAGCCCGAAGTTGACAAGGTGAGGATTTGCAGATATGAGGTGAATGGAATAGAGGCTTCTGTCTTCTCAAACACTCTGAGCTCCACAGACATTTCATCACAGTAAGAGGCATTTCTGTTAAAAAAAAAAAAAACACCACAAAAAAAAAAAAACCAAACACAAAAACAAAACAGTTGATAGATATAAAAGCAAAATAAAACTGCCACTAGGAATAGTTCCTTAGCCCCCTTAAACTCTACATTCTGTACTTTCTTGATGTGTGTTACAATACTTCTGCCTCTTTTCCTTTTGAGTTCTCAGAGGACAAAACCAAAATGTTATAATTACTATATAAACAGTGATGTGTCCCCCATTTTTCCCAGGGGGCCTCCCACCAGCTTAATTTCACCATCATCATGAACCACTAACAAACAACCCAGACTTCTCTGGGGGACCCTAAAGTGTCTAAAATATGGGATTATGTAACCCTACAATAGCATGTACCAACCCCATACCACATCAAGACATATCCTAGTGCACAGATTATTTCCTAAGAGCCACTTTTCCCCTTTAAGAATTTTTTTTTTTACTGGTCCCAGGAATTTTTTACCAACCATAGTTTAATTTCCAAAAACTTAGTATGAAGTCTATAAAGGGTTTCACAGTACTGTAAGGGGAAAATGAGCTTGGGAACTTTTTACATCATTATTGTTGAGTTGAGCTAACAACAACTTCAATGTCATAATTTTACTGAGACCACAAAAATGGTGAAAATGGACAGAGCTGAAACAAGGCACAGAGAAAATGGAGGGAAAGAGGAAAGATAATTTTAGAAAGTCTTTTAAGGTTGTCGTTGTTGTTGTTGTTGTTGTTGTTGTTATGTGCCGTCAAGTCCTTTGCGACTCATAGCAACCCTATGTATAACAGCCCTAAACCGTGCTCTATCCTGTGCCAATCTCATTGCCTCTGACACACCCATCCCGATTACCCCAGTCACTGAATCAATCCACCTCATAGAGGGTCTTCCCCTCCTGCGCTGTCCCTCTCTAAAGACCTGTCCCTCCTTACAACATGTCCAAAATATGTCAGGCGAAGCCCCAGAATCCTTGCCTCCAAGGAGCAGCCTGGTTTAACCCTCTCTACGATGAATCTGTTTGTTTCCTTGGCAGTCCATGGTACATTCAATACTCTTCTCCAGCACCACAGCTCAAAGGCATCAATTCTCCTTCTATCCTCCCTAGTCATTTTCCAACTCTCTGATACATAACAAGTGATTGCAAAAACCATGGCCTGTATCAGGCGGACCTTAGTCTCCAGAGAGACACTGTTGCTCTTGAGTACTTTAGAGAGGTCCCTAGCCGCAGACTTTCCCATTGCAATACGTTTTTTTTATTTCCTGGCTACTGGTGCCAAGAGTGTTGACCGTGGAGCCGAGCAAACTGAAGCTGTGAACACTCAATCTCTTCGCCATCCATCCTGATGCTACCGATTGGTCCGGTGGTGAGAATTTTTGTCTTCTTGACATTGAGCCTCAGTCCATATTGAAGGCTGCAGTCCTTGACCCTCTGCAGTAAGTGCATGAGGTCCTCCTCAGTCTCAGCGAGCAAAGTTGTGTCATCTGCATAATGCAGATTGTTGATAGATCTTCCACCAATCCTAACACCACGCTTCTTCTCATAGAGCCCAGCCTCTTGGATAATCTGCTCTGCATACAGGTTGAAAAGGTATGGAGACAGGACACATCCCTGACGTACACCCTTCCCAATTTTGAACCATGCAGTGTTGCCCTGCTCTGTTCTGACGACTGCCTCTTGGTCCAAGTATAGGTTTTGCATTAGCACGATTAAATGTTCTGGGATTCCCATTCTTCCCAGAGTCAGCCACAGTTTGTTATGATCCACGCAGTCAAATGCCTTTGCATAATCAATGAAACACAGATAGACATTCTTCTGGTATTCTCTGCTTTCAGCTAAGATGCATCTAACATCAGCTACAATATCCCTAGTACCACAACCCCTTCTAAACCCAGCCTGGACTTCCGGCAGTTCTCTGCTGATGTACTGTTCCAGTCGTTTTTGGATAATCTTCAGTAGACTCTTACTTGCGTGTGAAATCAATGATATTGTTCTGTAGTTTCCACACTCAGTTGGGTCGCCCTTCTTTGGGATGGGAACAAATATAGACCTCTTCCAGTCAGTTGGCCAAGTGGTTGTCCTCCAGATTTCTTGGCACAACTTGGTGAGCACATCCACAGCAGCATCTGTTAGCTGAAATATGTCAATTGGTATACCATCTATTCCGGGGGCCTTATTTTTTGCTATTTCCTTCAAAGCAGCTTGAACTTCTTCCTTCATCACCATAGGCTCTGGCTCAAATGCTATTTCATTAAATTCTTCTGTATCTGCCAATTCCTTTCGATACAAGACTCAGTATATTCCTTCCATCTTCTTTTGATACCTCCTGGATCATTTAACATTCTGCCTAAAGCATCCTTGATTGTAGCAACTCGAGGTTTGAATTTGCTCTTCAGTTCCTTGAGCTTAAGAAATGCTGAATGAGTTCAGCCCTTTTGATTTTCCGACTCCAGCTCCTCGCACATTTCATTGTAATAGTTTGCTTTGTCATTCCATGCTGCCTTTTGGAATCTTCTGTTCAGCTCTTTAGTGTCTTAGGTTCTTCCGTGGGCTTTGGCTTCTCTACGCTCCAGTGCAATCTTCAGAGTTTCTTCTGACATCCATTTTGGTCTTTTCTTCCTCTTCTGTCTTTGTAATGCCCGCCTGCACTCTTCCTGGATGATACATTTAACATCCTCCCACAAATCATCTGGTCTTCGTTCATTAGTGTTCAAGTCCTCAAACCTGTTCCTGAGATGATTCTGAAATTCAGGTGGTATGAAATTAAATTCATATTTTGGCTCCTGTGGATTTGGTTTAATTTTCCTCAGCTTCAGCTTGAACTTGCATATGAGTAGTTGGTGGTCTGTTCCACAATCAGCTCCTGGCCTAGTTTTCACAGCTGATATTGAGCTTCTCCAGCGTTTTTTTCCACAGATGTAATAGATCTGATTCCTATGCATACCATCAGGTGAAATCCATGTGTATAACCTGCGTTTATGTCTCTTAAAAAATGTATTTGCAATGAATAAGTCATTGATTGTGCAAAATTCAATCATTCTATCTCCAGCTTCATTTCTGTCACCAAGTCCATGTTTCCCCAAAAATGTAAGATCAGAGCTAAGTTTCTGGCTCAAAAAAGAGATGTATTATAATGTTGTTTGATGAGGGGAAAAAATTTCTACAGAAAAATAAAACTTATACGCCAACAGGCGAAAAATGTGAAGGGGAAAAAGCGAATAGAAAATCATAGGTAAGAGCTTAATACTCAAAAATCAAGCTAATTCACTCAAATGCATAAAAGTTAGTATTTGTTCCATAATGGGTTAAAAAAGAAAGAAAGGCAAGCATATACTTTCTGCTCAAAGAAATGCACCAGGTTACCATCTACCAATTTGGAAAACGACACAATCCCGTTGCAAGGTGAAGAAACACAGAGGCAAGTCTAAGACTAGTGCACACTCAATCCAGCAATCCTGACAGTTGCCTGAGTGCACACCTGCATGTCAGACCTGTGGGGAGGGTTTTACATATCACTTATGTCATAGATTTGCCTACATGCTGAGGGAAGAATTCTTGTGTTATTTTCAGTAAAAAAAAATGCAAGATCTGTGACTACTAAGGAGTTGAGACAAGGTTGAAAGTCTAGGAAGACTCTGAGAAAATCTGTAAAAGCTCATTGTTTACATCTACCAAGAGTTACTAATTTGTTCACATAATTCATCTGGCAATTCCACTTGGAAAAGACAACTCCTTGAAAAGATTTTATAAAAAGTATGGGTGGGTGATTGGTGGGATTTGATGACCAATCTCATGCCATGTGGTAGCCTCATGATAAAGGGTGGTTATAATCAGGACTGCCTGCCTAGGGTTTACAGTGGTCCCCCTCTCTGAGTATATGATGGCTTACATGTCCTGACCCCATTGAGGTTGGGCACAGTTACATGACTTTATATTTAATGAATGACACATGTATCATTAGTGCATCAAAGTTTTAATGTCCATGAGAAACCCTCTAGGGTATGCTTCCTTCCTCTGCAGTGACCAGCATTTGAGAGTGCCTGCTGACTCATGCTAATCTTGTTTAAAGCCACTGAGATTCAGAGGACGAATGTTACAGCAGCATAACCTTGCTTACTCCAACTGCAGAAAATACATGCAAGTAAATGGCACAGATCAAAAAGAATCACAGAAATGGACAATATCCCTAAGACTGTAACCACCAAAGAGCTTAGCATGCGAAGAGAGTTTCCAAGGTCATTCAGAGGAACTCTCCCACACTCCGGAAAGTCTGGCACACCTTTCCACTCCCTCTTCAACATCAAACATCTTTTGTCCACAAGAATGAAAAATGATGGTATTACGCATAATTTCTTTTAAGTATAAGCTGAGCTTCAAGACAAGTGTGACTCAGCTCAAGTCTCAGTCATCTCAATTCTCAGCGATGTCTATGTATCACCAGAGAGTCTGTAGTCACCAATTCATAAGGACTGCTTTGGGGGATGCAGAGGGCAATTCAAAGTATATACTTACTAAGGACCTATTTTGGTGCTCCCCTGGCCAAACAATGTGGTCTCAGCTAAACCTCCTAACAAACTGCTTTACTGGAAAAACAGCTTGGATTCATAAAGATCAAGTAACCAGGCCAGGTCTCACCACAGGGAGAATGATGGTTAAGAGTTTGAAATTTTCTAACTCCAAATTCTTTATCTATTCCCCACCCTCCAACACCACTGTGTTTCCCTAAGTAGCACTCCTTGGAGAATGTTAGAATTTTTACACTGAAAATACAAAATAATTATTCATTTGTAGCTAATGTAAAATCAGATAATCATGCAACTGTGTACAGAAATAGGAGATTGCTCACCTGCTTCCTAAGCAGGTTACATCGACAAGATTAAACCTGTGCCTAAATTGTTTACAGCAGGGGATAGGCTTGTGAGAGTAGAAAAGGAGAAAAGGGTGGGGCCAAGCTGCGTATGATTTGAAAAGATTCTCAACCTCGCTTTCTGTGCACATACATACCCTGCCTGGGAAGAGGGCTCAGGTTGTCTACAACTTTGCCAGGTGCTGGTGGTAATGCCTTTGCGATAAGAATGCCACTTTGATTCCCTTTTTAAATATAACTATCTCTGGGCACAAAGGTGGGTGACTTTTAATCCACGGCCCTGGGCCTGTCTTTCATCATTTTTGTTCAGACATTCCTCTAGGTCGTATAGCCCTGGTGTACAAGTTGTCATACCACGTCACTTGTGGTTGCCATGAGGCTGAACACTGTAACACTGATGTGTCAAATGTGTTAACGGTTGGCTACCCAATGTGGACAGAGAGTGGGGTGGAGCTCCCCTCTTCCAACTAGCTTGGAAGGAGGAGTGGCATCCACTTCCATAATAGCTTGCCTCTGGAAACCCTATGAACCTGGAGAGAGGATGAAAGGCACCCAAGCGTCGAGGACTCTCTTTCACAGGGTCACTATGAGTCGTCTGCTACTCGACGGCACTTAACAACAACAACATCATCTCTGGGTACAAGTTTCCCCTAGAATCAAATAAATCTATGACGTGTGGTAAGACTCTAAATCAGGTTTGTGGAAGGAACATGTTTGAGGAACTTGTTGGGAAGAAGGCAAGGAATGCTATTTCACAAGCAGATGGAGGGTCAGCTGCAATTCTTTCAGCACTACCACCCTCTCCTCTAACTAAAAAACAAAAAAAATCACGTTGAGCTGATTTTTCATCATGGTGACTGAATTGTGTTTCACAGAATTTTCACTGCTTATTCAGACATTAGTCACCCAGTTCTAAAGTGATTTAGGTGGGCTGTCAATCTTTCCGTTAGTAAATAAAGCATAATAGCCCCATGAAAATGGTACAAGATGGCCAACACTAGACCCGTGGTTCTCTCGTTCAAACAGCATCTGGATCCAGTGTCAGATGCAAATACCAGCTTAAGCTCCACCACCAGCCCCTGTGGGAATTTTATAAGTGACTTCAGATCTCTGAAGCTTGGTTACTTCTTCACTACAAAACACTACAAAAAAACCAACCCAAACTTATTGAACCATTGAGTGGCAACCAAGTCACAGCTGACCCTCGAGTGGGTTTCTCAAGGATGTAAAATGCCTAGGAGGAGATGGCCCATCTTTCTTGCATGGATCCAAACTGCCAGAGAAGTTCCACCTCTTGATTAGCAGTGAAACACCCTATGAACTACACCATCAGAGCCTCCTGTATTACCCACAGCTGGATTCATTCATTCCAAATGTCTCACCTAGGTCTAAAATTCTATTCCTATTTTCTTATATCTCTATTACTTGGATTCAGTAGTAAAGAAAACAGCCAAGTTCCTTGCCGCATGAGGTTTATATCATGAAGTAGGCAAAAGTTAAATAGACACACATATACAATATGAAAGAAGTTGGGTTTTTTTTTTAAATGGAGACTTGAATTTTAAAATAGCAAATAGAATGGTTGTTGTTATGTACCATCAAGTCAGAATCAATGTCTACCTGACTCTGGCAGGTTTTCACAGGCAGTAAGTCAAGGAAGGAGACTGCTCATCTTTCTCCTGGGGAGCAGCTGGAAGATTCAAACTGTGTACCTTCGGGTTGGCAGCAGAACTCCATGCTACTACTCATATCCCCATAAAGAGGCACTGCAGTCCTAACCTCATAATATGCATACATGATCTTATTATGAAATAGTGCATTAAAGGTATTGAGCTAAGTCTTGTTTTACATATTAGAAACATATTTTATTTGCCAAGAACAAAAAAGGTAAGTTAACATCGAACTCAAACTCATTATCATGGAGTCAGACCAACTCATAACAGACCCTCCATTAGGTTTCTGAAGCTGAAAATCAATCGCACAGGAAACACCCCATTGTGCTCCTGTGAAGCAGCAGCTTGATTCAAAGGGAGGCTTTTCAGTTAGCAGTGTGACGCCCTAGGGAGTTGGTCACCAGCGCTCCTGAAGTTACCTGGGGCTAGGTTATTTCTGAGTAAGGTGGACCCTGATCCCATCTGAGTTGTGTTCATATAAAAGAGGAAGACAATAACCACAACTGAATAGATTAAGAAATTGTGCTGCCTTCACATGAATGTATGCTGTACTCAGAAGCAACAATTTCAGAAATTACTACATAACTTGGGAGAGACTGATGAGCATTAAGCTGAATCTAAACTAACTCATCTGAACTAACTCAGCTTATAAGGACAAATACTGTGTAAGACCATTTTGTAAAAATAGAAGGATAATAAGTAAAATGTGTATGTTGTTAAGTGCTGTCGAGTCATAGGTGACTCATAGGGACCCTATGAATGAAAGTCCTGGACACCTGTATAACTTTCATCCTCTCTCCGCGTTCATAGGGTTTCCAGAGGCAAGCTATTATGGAAGTGGATGCCATTCCTGCTTCCAAGCTTGTTTTAATTGGGAGCTCCACAAAACTCTGTCCACCATGGGTAACCATTCTCGTATTTGATTCATCACTGTCACAGTGTTTGGCTTCACAGCAAACACAAGTTACCTCTGCACAGCAAGTGGACAGACCAGGGTTGCATGAACTAGAAGAATGTTTCACCAAAATGAGTATAGGGATCCAGAAATCACAGTGTAGCAAAATTTGGTGAGAGGAGGGAGGGGAAGTAAAGAAAGTGGGGAAAATCAGAGGAGACCTGAAAGGACAGAGTGGTAGGCATAATTCAATGGGGGATTAAGTTTATAAAACAATGTGAATGAAGGAAAGTGAGAAACACAATGTATTCAAATTTTGTATGCAAACCAAAATAAAATAATAAAAAAAGAAAGGGGGAGACAGAGAAAAAAGTATGCCATAAAGGTACAGTTAAGAGATGAAACCAGCAAGGAGACCCTGGGGCTCCCAGAAGCCAGAAGAAACCAAGAAATGTCTTTCCCCAGAACAGAGCCTGTCGAGGGCCACTTTTGAGGCTCCTGACTTAAGGTCTAAGTTGCTTTATACTGCTCACTAAATGCTATTCCATAAAGGCCTGCCTGGCATGTCTAGAGATAAGTTGAGCTCAGAATCTCTACCCAGTCTCAAGGAAACTGCTTCTTTCTATAGCTCAGTGTGTGTAATTCAAGGTCTTAGGGAGTGTTCCTCATTCCTGCAGCATACTGATATCTTGAGGCTGAGTTTCCACAGTAACCCAGCCTACGTAATATACCTAGGCAAATTCCTATAAAAGCCTGAAAAAACTTTAATAAAGTGGGACTTGATCAGGAATCTGTCTTGTCCCCATTCTTTGCACCACTTGTCCCTTTTCAGCCCCACTCTCCCTCCTTCAGGTCAACGTTGACGTCCCCACGGGCCGGGGCAAGAGCCAGCTTGATTCAGGCAGCTCCCTGAATTTGGACTCCTACCTTCCTCAACTGTGAGACAATAAATCTCTAGTGTTTAAAACCAATCATTTCATGTGTTTTGTCCCAACAGGGGACATGTTACACAATGACAAGAATGCTTTATATGAAGTGGTTACAGAAGTCCTTTCCAAACACGGGGCAGTTGAGCAAACACTTGTAGAGAGGAGGGAGTGAGGACTTCTAAGGGAAAGACCGCATGTGGCAAATATTTGAGGGACAGCAAGGTGAACACAATCTGGACTCTGAGTCCCGGGTCTGAAATCTAATCTGGGGTGTCTCTGGAGGATTAATGAAGAGTTCCCAATCAGGAAGTGAGCCGGCCTCCACCTTCATCCCAGAGGGCTTACCTGACCGAGCAGACGTAGGTGCCAGAGTCCCTCCGCAAGGCTGGCAGGATCCATAGAGCCTGGTCCTGGACCCAGAGGCGTTCGTCCCCTGCCTCGGTGTTCCCACCAGTGTCATTTCTATGCCAGGTGATGAAGTGGGGACCTGCAGACGTCTGCATCCAAGGCTGCACCTGAGGGCACCTCAGGACCACAGGCTCTCCTTCCACCCTGAAGAACTTCTTGAAATATTTGCCTTGGAATTGGCAGTTTCTTGCAGCTTCTGGAGAACAGAGAGCTCACAGATCACAAAACAAAACTTAAGCGAAACCGCTTTGCTATTGGAATGGATTCTAGCCTTAGGGTCCCTTGAGTTACACACTAAAGCTACTCCATCAGGTTTTCTTGGCAGTAAACCTTGGGGAAGTAGGTGGTCACACCTTTCTTCTGGTCTCCTAGTGGGTTTGGGTTGCCAACCTTTAGGGAAGTCTCAAAAAAAAAAAAGACTGAAAAAAAAACAATTCCCTGTTTCTAGTCAAACTGACTCAGCTGATCCTCCATTGGGGTTTTGGGGAGTCAATCACATGAGAGGAGGTTGCCCATCTCTCTCCAATGTATCTGCTGGTGAATTTGAACCACCAAAGAAAGACCACCTTCAGGTTAGCAGCATAACTCCCTAGGGTTAGTTACCAGAGCTCCCTGTAGGCTGGTTTTAAAAAGAAACCCCAAAACACCTCATTTTATGGAGTGGGAACCATCTCACAACTGACCATCCAACAGGCTTTCAGAGGTTGTAAATCACATAGAAGGTGATTGCTCAGCCTTCTCCCACAGAGCAGCCGCTGGATTCAAACCATTTGTCTTTGGATTGGCACCACCACGCTTTAGCCATTAGGACTATTAGGGCTCCCTCTTAGTTTAGAAGTCAAGCTCAAAAATGTGCCATCCAGAGACTGCTGGTATTTGCAAAAGTCCAAATCATGGAACCTCCTGGCCCGTCATACATGAGCTGCTTCTGTCAATGGACATGAGGCACAGTGATGACCGACATTCGAAGGCCATGAGCTTCCTGAGATTTAGGCCTTTACATTTCCAAAGAATACATTTAGGGCTGCTATCTACCCCCAACTACAAAACTATAGTAAAAAAGGGGTTCATATGGTAAAGAAAACTGAATTATAAAATGTGCCCATTTCTCATCTTTGTCATGAAAAGTGGATTTGCAATGAGAGAAAAGAAAGTTGGTTATGACAGGTTAGGTGTTTAAAATCCAAAAACACCTCTTAAGGGGTTCCCCCAAAGCACTCCTTGGATGACTCACTGCCCTGGCTGGTGTGGTGCTGAAGAGATGTGGGTCAAGGGAATGTATGAAGCATGACTAGCTCACACCTTAATTTCGTGAGAACTAGGTAGACAATTGCTTTCTACAGAGAAGCCACAGCCAAGAGGTTCCCTGTGTGGCAGCTGGACTACTTACCTGTGTGTTCCTCAGGCTGAATGAAGGCAGAAGCACCTGCAATTGCCATGTATAAGACGAACATTGTTCCAGGAAGCCTCTGGTGGACACAGAAAGCTGTAAACTGAGGCCCAGCACCCAGGAGCCTACAGAAGGATACAGAGGAATCACTGGAAACCAAGGGTTCCCAAAGAAAGAACAACTGAAGGTCATCCCAGAGCAGAATATGGGCATTTCACTCAATAACAGAAATCTTTTGCCTAGGTTTTGTTTGGGTTTTTGTTTTAAACAAGAAAGCCCATCTTTATTCCCTTTGCTCGTCTATACTCACTGACTAGGTCATAAACCAAATTTGTGGAGCTCTTACACACTCTTGCTATACAGGTTTCATCTCTCAAGTTTCTCCCCTTAGTAGTGGGTCATGGAAATCCTGTTGGGATGGTCTTTTCTTGGGCGAGGCCATGGCTTATCCCCCCTCCCTTCAGTTTTTCCTCAAATACCGTTGGTCTGCCTGGTGACATCTTTCCAACCACCTGCTTCGGTCTGTACCACCCCTGAGACCTAGAACTCTGTATTCTTCTTTACTGTTCCTCTGCCATCTTTGGCATTTATCACCAACCCTGTCTCCTCTCTCTGCAAAGTAAGCTCCAGGTACACAAGAATCCTCATCTGTTTTGTAGACAGTGATGTCCAACCCCAACTTAGTGAGTGAGCAAATGAGTTAATCAATCACTAGAGGTCAGAAGGTCATCATTGTTTTCTTCTGAGGAAACAGTTCCCTCTAATCTCCATGGATTACTTAAAACATAATTTTGACATGCCCTGAAGGATTCTATCTACTGTTAACTAGCTTAAAACACCTCAAAAGCAAAAGCAAAATGGAATCCAAAACCAGATAGCTTATATTAATTCATGAAACATTCCACTCTGCAAAGTTTCCAGAGTCTGGAGTCATTTTCTAGGTCTCACAATCTGTCACAATGGCCTGTTGCCTCAGCCAGTCATTGTGACCATGCGTGATTTACAAATCACCCCCAAACTCAGAGGCATAAAACAACAATCATGTCTGTTTGCTCCAGGGACTGTGGATCAGATGCACTTTGGCTGCACTAGACTGGTCTTGGGGGTAGACTTGGCTTCATGTTCAGGTGGTGTCCAAGTCAGTCCTCAGGTCTCTTGTCCTCCTTGGACCTAGGGGCTTCCTAGACAAAGAGCTCCTCAAGTGATGGTGAAAGTACAAATGCTACGTGCAAAAATACACAGAGTCTCATTCACAACTCGCTCTTGTATGCCTACATTCTACTGAACAAAACAAGTCACATGGCCAAGCTTGCCAAAATGAGGTAGAGAAACGCACCCCACCTCGAGTAGGAAGCACTAGAAAAATGACACTAGGAGGAGTAAGAAGTGAGAGCTTGTTTTCTCCCTGGCTCCCCTTGTTGGTGAGTTCCTTGATGTCAGAGGCCTAGTCCCAGAAACATTTATCCGTGAGAGTTTTTCAGAGAGTTGGACAGAACAGGGGGAGGGAGGGGCAGGGAGACAAGGAGTTTCTTTCCTAAATTCCATCCACCATCCTCACTTCTGTTTCTGACACAGGAACAAAAGTCATTCTAAATGGCTGCCTGCGATTCCAGACAGTTCTTTCTGACCATAACAGCATTGTGTTAGAAATTTTTCCCTGACCGGTTAAGAACCTTCAGAGCATGTAGAATCAGAACTGCAATCTGAGCTCCCCCTTCTGGTGACAGGCTGTCATGGCAGTGGGAGTAAAGCTCCTGAGTTCCCTTCGCTGAGGTTGTCTCTTACTCTTCTGACTTCTACGTGATTTTGATCCTTCACATGTTCCTGAAGTGCAATATCTCCCGGAACTTTACCGCTACCCTTACCCTCGGGTTTTCCAAACAGTATGATTGGCATAAAGGTCACATAACTAATCAAACTCTTTAGGCATGCATTAGCTTGTCATAACCTTAACTGTGCTGGTCCCAGCTAGATTTACTAGTTCTTTAAGATACAGATGGAAGAGGTAGGAGTTACATATACCTCTTATAACCAAGACTACATAGCACAATAAATAAGTGAGGGATGAAGTCAGATCTAGGGCAAGGGCAAGAGCTATTGTGCTAAATACCAAATATCGGTTCTTCCGTTTTGTTCCCATGATATGTTATGCCAATTTTACAGATGATGTAATAGAGAAGATCATAGAGGTTAAGTGGCTTGGCCAAGACTGTACAGCTAACAAGCAGGAGTTGAAATGCAATGTAAATCAAGAATTAACCATTCAAGATCCTTGATCCTATAATGTATGCTATCTGTAGCTGCTAATTTCTTCTCCCAATGTCTATTTTCTCTGCTTCTCCAATAATACAGCTCCTACTTTTAACTGAATATGTGGCCACCCCAGATAGCAGCAGCTACATTTCTCATCTTCCCAGGTAACTAAGAGGGACCATATGACAACATTTTGGTCAAGGAAATAGAAGTGGAAATATAAGATTCCCCTGAAGTCCAAAAGTAGTAGTTTTCTTTCCTGATGACTTGCTGTGGATACGATGGCTGGCTTATAGCAGCCGTCATGAACTACCTTCCTCAAAGGGGTGATGCAACAAGAAAGACTGAGCCTGAATGGCTTTGTCAAGTTGCCCCACTACCATCTTCAACTAATTTCTTTTACGTAGTTAGGCCTCTTGTTACTCGCAATCAAACCTAATCTCAATATACTACTTTTCCAGAATTCATGAAGAGGACCTGCGGCAGAGCCTGCCAAGTCCATCAGGTGCTATATTCTTACCAGTCTTCATCTTACTGCTCAGGTGGATTAAAATATACTATTTCTGTTGATTGACTATAACAATATCACTTCAACTCAAAGGTAGACTATCTATCTCTACAGCCTGCCTTCAGATGAAAACATCCCTTAAGGAAGACCTTGTATTCTCTCAGGTAGAGTCTCTTTGACCTTAGCCCTGCACTATGTACAGGTTTGTAAATGCATGTGAACTTTTTTGAACATCAGAAAGATTGTTTCTCTGAGGAACAGTTACTACCAAAAGTGTCACAGACCTACAAAACTGGATAAAAACTTAAAAAACTCTAGGAGTCCTTCCTGTGTTATATACGAAAGGTGTTTAAACTGGATAACAACTTAGAAGCCCCTTCTGTGTTACATGTGAAAGGAGTTTAAAGGTAAATTGCTCAAAACCACATGATCAGAGTTATAAGTGAGGTAATCTCAGGAGTGGCTCAGTTTTAATAGGAGAAAATCCTAAATGTTTTACTCTTCAAATAAGCTCCTATCAATATACCCTCCCACCTCCCCAACCAAAAAGAATTATTTTGAGTTCCACTCTTTGGACTCTGACAGAAGAACAGCTTAATTGTGACCTTTCCAGGAAGTGGCTATAGATAATTAAACCACAAATACATGGTCTTGATAGCTTTCGATGCTCAAAACCTCAGAAAAGGCTGGAGCCAAAATTTGCATTTGTGGGAATGAAAAGGTTTTGGCAAGCTGGAAGGAAAAAGAATCAGATTTATAGAAGTTCATAGCAAAACAAAGTTCTCCTGCCTTACTTCCTTGAAATAGACATTTCAGTAGTTCTGCTGGATTGGCCTTCTTCCTGGGAGGATAAATTTGAGAAGCAGGGTATTCCAAGTATTTGAGTAAATTAGTTAATAAGTTGTTTTAATTGTATAACCACGTTACTTAACACAGTGAGTAATAATTACGTTGTTGACCAAAAGATCAGCAGCCACTCCATGGGAAGAGAGAGCAGCCACACTCCACAGAGAGAGGGATGGATGGACGGATGGATGGTGGATGGATGGATGGATGGATGGATGGATGTTTGGGTGGCTGGGTGGATGCATAGAGGCTGGATGGATAGATAGATAGATAGATAGATAGATAGATAGATAGATAGATAGATATCTACATGTGTATTTTGTTATTATTATGTGCTATTGAGCCTGTGACTCATAGTGACCCTATGTAACAGCTCTGAAACCTGCCCTATTCTGAGCCAGTCTCCCTGACTCCAACACACCTTGGAACAAATACAAATAATCCAATACTCTGACTATAAGCATCCTTAAGTGTTGCATCTTGATTGTATATTTGATCCATTTCCAACTGCAAAAGTTGGTAGACATCATCTATTTCCTTCTCTTTGGCCTCTGGGTGTTGGTATAGGCAATCTCCTCCTGTGTGATTAACTGCCTCTGAAAACCCACTGAAGAGTCAGCGGTGGGTCCATCCCAACTCTATGGTATACACAACAAATAACATATGTAATGGTACTCTTCTTAGAAGTCTTTCTTCACTTATATGAAAAGAGAAAGAATATACATGGTTGGTACAAATGATTAAATTCTGAGCTTCTAACTGAAAGACTGGTAGTTTGAATTCATGCTGAAGCACTTTAGAAGAAAGACTTCTAAAAAGAGCACCACTATTAAAAGTCTCAGGGAGCTCTGTTGGCTTAGTCTACAGGAAGTTCTGCCACCTAACCTCTGATGGTTTGATTCTACCAGTGGTTCCTCAGAAGAAAGATAGGGAATGTCCCCCCCTGCAATTTCTGTCAACCTTGGATACCCACTGAAGGGTTAGCTAAGAGTGTATTCTAACTCAGTGGCCTGGAGAAAAAGTTTTAAAACTTTGTAATACAGAGTTCTACACATGGACAGCATGAGTCTCAATGTGCCCAATGGGAGCTGCTACATTTATAGTTATTGTACTTATTTCTGTTTTAGCTGTATTGTTACTTATTGTTTACTTTTGAGAGAAATTGCACCAACATTTAAAACTTGTAGATATCCTCCCACTTCAACTCCTCAGTAGAATTCATACAGGAATTTTCAGATGATTCAAATAAATAATTATAATTGGATAAATAAAATTGCAGGCATTTAAAAGGATCAAAAGTTCATTTTACAGTATATTGAAATGTTGTTGTTGTTGTGATGATGAAGTTTAGTCAAGTCGAGTACAACCTATAGCAACTTGATGAGCCTTGGATCTGGACCCTGTCCTATCTTGTGCCATCCTCGCAATCTCTGACACACTTGAGCCCATCGCTGCAG